GGTATTTCTAGAAGAAGGAGTTGTAATACGCAATGAAAGCACTGTTTTTATTTGATTTAAAAAAACAAACAAAATCGTTACATGTTGTTGTTTAATATTGTATTTATGTAAAAAAATTTCAAAAATAATTACATGTGCTTTTTATACTTAATGTAAATATTTTTAACGTAATATATATTACCAAATAGAACGATTGAAAACAAATTTAGAGTTTAGGTAGTAGGTGTAACATCAAATTTGCAATGGTGCATGGTCGGTGAAAAAAACTCCGATTTCGAAACAGCATTTTTTACCATTTTTAGCGAGTAAGATGTTTCAGATACAACACTTTGGACCTCGCATTAAAATTACCTCAGCTAAGCAAGAAAACTAGATGTAACGAAAAAGTTAACATTTATTTTTACATTGTTTGTTCCCTAAAATGGAAAAAAATACAATTCGTTTTAAATTACCCGGTTAGCACAAATTGAATTCATCAGCTCTTAATGATTTTTTGATTCTTAATTCTTCATATAATTAAAAGGAAAATTAAAAAAATGTGGCATTTTCTAAGTGAAAAATTAACACATATACTTTCGATCCTGTTAACAGTTTACCACTATTTTGCGTAAATCTGAATAGGAATTTCTAGCTAAGATCTTTACGTACTGTTGAAGCATTTTTGGTTTGTTATACTTTTTTTTTGCTGAGGAATTAAATGTGTTACGTGTCTTTAGCGAATTAAGATTTTATAAAAATCTGTAATATATTTACTCGCGTATCTACTCGCTCGATCGCAAAGCTAATACAGTAAAGCTAAAGTAGAGTCGAAAGAAGATATATAGCTTTAAAACTTAATTAAAAGTAGTTTTCAATATTAGCTCCGACAATACAATTTGCTCCTACATAATATGATAAAAGCTAAAGGAAGTGTTATATACAAAATTTGCTTCAATGTTCAAATAGGCAGTGAAAGGCAGATAATTTTGCTAATCAAAAAGAAAGGTTTTTGGCTTTTGTCAGCTTATTGTTTAAATTTGACTATGTTTATCAAAATTTAGCCACAAATTTTATATTTACAAGAGTAAAATTTAGACCGAGCTCAGTAGTAATTTTAAACCCAAAAGTAATAAAGTGATTCGTGTATAAATAAAACAAAACTATCGTGGATTAGAAATAGATATAACAATGCACTTATGTTTAGATGCCCCCAAGCTTTCTTAATAAGTAAAAGTATGCAGAATATATTTTTGTTGAAAATTTTATTAACCAAAATCGTTAAAACACCATTTGTTGACTGTTCTGGTTAATATACTTTGTGGAATACTTAGGCTTTCAAAAATAGAACAAAATCTACAAGGAGAATGAAAGTCACTCCGAACACTTACAAGCCCGCATTTAAAAATACAGAAACCCGAAAACGAAAACACCATACTTTGACGTCAAGAAAAACGTGCGAAGAACTTAAGATTGCAACTAATGTGTTTTATTTATCAGATTTTGTTTCCTACTATTTATTTATATGTTTTGATGAACTAAATGGGTTAATCGATAAATTAAATTAAAAAAAAACCTTTCCATGAGAACTATAGGCAAGGCATTTAGTTCCCTCTAAATTGTCTCTGCGTTATGAAGAAAGTTTGAACTATGCACCTCATTTGGATCTTATGCCAGATTGGTGGGCGGTAGATCGAAAAAGTATGTGTTAATAGTGTGAACCCTACGTTTTATATTTTGAAGATTGGTACCTACTATTATATAATACATTGCGATATATCTGCACGAAACATACATTTACATTTAATATTATTTATTGTAATAACAAACTCACTAAACATTTGTCGTTTTTATTTTGTTATTTTTTTTTAATAATAACCTTTCTTTCTTTTTCTGAGATCTATTTGTTGGTCCCTGATTGTTAAATGTTTATATTTCCAATAATTAATTTGCAGAATACGTATTGATACAGTATTGTGGTACAAATTTGATAAACGTCATTTTAGGCACGAGTTTGTTTTGGTACGAGCGGAGCGAGTATTTAACAAACGATCAATTGAAATCTTCCGATGTGTTGCGTACTACACTTTTTCGACTATCCTCCGTTTTTTGGTACATTTTTGGAAAACAGCGCGAATACGTGTGACGTCAGAACTGTCAAATGTCAAAATAGCATGGCTTACAAAGCTGAAGCCTTAAAGTGGCACTTTCTATACGCTTAATAAGTGCATAGTAATAAAAATTAGTTTTGTTCTTTCCTTGGGTAATGTTGGAACTAAAATACGTTTTCGGTATCATATTCCAATTTCCGTCTGCTAGGGTAGTTCGAAATACATAATGTGTATATGGAGGCGCGGAAGTCTTAGTTAATATTTTCAGCACTAGGCTAAAGCAACATCACGGGATGTATAGTGCTGGTGGCTTTCATCAAAAATATTTCAAGGTTTTTCGGATTTGGGGAAACGTGAGTGGATCTGGCAACGACACACTGCCGGCAGCCGAGCCACGACGGCGGTCCAGCCCGCGAAGAGAAGCGAAGAGGGTGGGTTCGCGCCCCCGTATCGAACGTGCGGCCGGCGCATCACGCGTTGCCAGGAAACGAGTCAGAGGCGCGCGCCGAATATCGGTCACCATAACGTGGCCGGATTTATTGGGAGGTCCTCAAAATTTCGAGTCATGCTCTCTATTCTCCAATTTTAGGGAATAAAAAAATCTTCTGGGCAAATAGCCAAAAGTGGGGCGTATTCTTGAAAAACACAGGAAAAGTTCTCGTAATCTTTACCGTTTCCACACTTATATGGAAATCCTTTATAAATATGGCTAACATTAACAACTAAAATTTGGCACTTGGTATGAAAATTGTCACACTTAATTGATTTCGAGTTCGTTTATTCGTTCATTATCTTTGCATCTTCATGCTTGATTTAATACGAAATCAAAAAATTTAATGCACGTTTGTTCTTTCCTTTCTTTTTTGCACCTATGATCAGTTACTTTATAAAAAAGAAAGTGCAGGGGCTTTTTTCCCCAAATACAGATACAGATACACGGCGAAGTTGGATCCGTCGCATATTGATTATTGCAAGGCCAGTTATAGTCCGGCACACGACGAATGGCCGTGACTTGGAAACGGAAGGTCCCTTACCCCCAATAAACAAAGCAATAAAATAATAAAAAGCCGATTTACACGCGTTTATCAGTGCAGATATTTTAAAATCATTTGCGTAATGCCATTACTTGTTACAGTCTTGGTTATGTTTAGACCGAGACAATGACACTTGCTGTTTCTACGTATTTAAATTAAAAAAAAATATTTGAAATGACTTCAGTCGACGTTTACCATAACATTCCTGAGACTGTAACGTAGCAAATAAAAAAACGCGAGTAATTTATAATTTTTAATGCAAAATTGAAGGTCTTCTAACAACGTCAGACGACATGGGGCCTGCCATTGGGAGGACAGTGGAGTAAACTGGCATTCCAAGGTCAACCTTGTGTCGATTTCTTAATAAAGATAACGATTGACTAAAAAGCAACGAAGTTGTGACAAAGACATAATGAAAGTGTTCAGGCATTAAATAGACCCAACCATTGATGGAATGAAGACAAAAATATTTAACTCAAATTCAGACTTTGTTAGACAACCATGACACTATAAAGAAAATGTACCAAAATTCTTCATCGAACTGTATTTTGAATGTACCTGCATCTAGAGGAATAAGAATATGCATTTTACATATGGCTCGAGGCAATTTGGGAAATTGGGTAAACAATCCTCTTCTTCCAAATGTTTCACCAGGCAGCATAATAATTTATGAGAATGCTAGTTATTATAGCACTTTAGCACAAGAAGTAACAACGATCAGCAACAAAAAACGGTTATTGCAAGAGTTCCGTAGTCGGCACAATCATTATTTTGAAGATACTGTTACAAAAAAACAACGAGTTGAAGTTTTAAAAATAAAATCGTATAATAAAAATCCAGATTCAAACTATTCTAACTATATTTAATAATTGTATTAATATGTATATATTATTTATATAATTACAATTATACAGTATGCAATGCAATGGAATGTATTCTTATATTCTGTGTTTCAATTTTCTTCCTACTACCCTGGACCGATTTGGTTTATTGGCTCAGAAATGCCTACCAGCAGATAAAAATGTCAATAGCATTACAGTCATGATATATATCGAGTGTGACATGACATGCTCTACGTGGCCCACCAATAACGGCAGACGTAAACTGGTACCCAAACGGCCCAAAAATTCAGGAATGGTGGAATATATGAAACTAGGACTAAAATAAAATTTCTATTCTAGCGACGGTGTTCCAAGAGATAACCTCACAAGAACAATGTGCCAGAGAAGAAGCCACGACAGTCAAGTTAATTTTGGTTTGCCAAAAGGCATTCAATGAGACAGCAAGTCAGAATAAAGTGACGCTGACGAAGGTCTCGAAAATAACGAAAGCGCCGACGAAGTAGCCGGAAGTAGAACAGAGCCATTTTGTGGAGCGGCTAGGCCCGTTGCAAAATTACTCATCAACGAATGGGTATAAAAAGAACCCTGTAATGTTGGAGAGACGCGCCAAGACAAGAACAGATAAAGGACTTGCTCCGAAGCCCGTCTTGCACAGACTTGCTAAAGAAAAATGATAGCTCTATTGATGGGACACTGCCAGCTTATGCGGAATCCAAGCTTAATGGAAGTGCAAAAAAACACAAAATGCAGATTCAGCCAAGAACAGGAGGAAACAGCTATGCACGTGCTATGCCAATGCGAACACCTATCCACATTGCATTTTCATCTGATGTGCGTAACCAAAGCAGAGGCAACGAGCTACTCCATGGAGGTGTGTGTCTAATCAGAGAGACGGACAGGCAAGGAAATTTGAATCTTGAATCTAAACTCTTGTTGGTAGCACTGGCAATACATATAATAATATTAATCAGTTCGAAATCACCAAATTCGAACCTCAAAATATCCTGAAATCGAATCGATTTACCCAGAAAAATTACCTCGTAGTCAAACGTCAGTCTCGATGCTCATGGCGTTGATGTTGTTGTTGTGGCGCGGGTTACAGTTCTGTTTCCGGGCCAGCTGGTCGCGCGTCACCAGGAGACCCTCCTCTAGTTCGACCAAGTCGCTCGAAGACTCGCTCAGCGACCCCTGCAAATGCGGTCAAATCAAACCGACGAAGGCGCGAAGTAATGAAATTTCCACCTTCTTCATGTGCTGGCCCAAAGTGCCGGGCAGGTACGGGCAGCTGGTCACGTGATTGAAGTTCTGCGACTGCATCTCCTCCTGATCAGTCTCCCGATGGTAGAAGTAGTTGAAGTTGGAGACGATAACCGGTACTGGCAGGGCGATGGTGAGGACGCCGGCGATCGCGCAAAGGGAACCAACGATTTTCCCCCACACTCCCACAGGCCTGGAAAACGACAACGTGGTTTAGTAAGGTTTGCAATGGAAAGTTCTTCAATTCAAACATCGGGAAGCTGGATCTATAAGCCTCCGTCTGGACTAAACCGAAAATGGTGCCCTGGTTTCAAATTAAAACTATCTACGAAGCATTTGGCTATACAGCATGTGAATTGCTACTGCCTATGCCTACTGACAGGCGCAAACACAGGAGTTAACCTATGGACAATAGCTATATACGTTGTATTTACTTAATCGAGCGCAGAAATGGCAAAAGCTCCCGTTTTAGCGACCCCGCTATATTTTTAAATTTTACAGAACTGAGCCGTTAAAGATGTCAAATAATCTAGGTTGATTTTGTAATTCATTTCTAGATCCATTTACTGTCTTTATAAAAATTATTATTATAAGGTAACTTTTTTCGACTGACTATATTATACTGTTGTTTTTCAACCATTTCAAAACACTCATTGAGGTGGTAATCTTTTATGTATTATAAACATTTTTCATTTTTGCTACGAACTGCCAATTTTTTATTAAGACTAAGTTATTTTAGACACAGATCTTGGAACTCTAATCATTTAGTGGTCATTCATTTTCTGCTAGTTCGCTGATCGGAAGTCCTGTTTAAATATTATTTTTAACAACGATTTTTAACTATTTTGTTTAAGCTTTGCGTTTTGTCGAAGAGCGTCTCCTGTAAAAATTAAAGACGCTAAACGGTTAGAAACTTTGGGAAAAATCGTTGGCGATGGGCCTCGAACTACATAAGGAAGCAAAGAATTTCAGAAACAAATTATGAAGTTAGAACACCATTGCTAGTCTAAAAAAAACTTAATTTTTGAGAGATTCAAGTTCAACAGTTCAATATTCCAGAAGGAGGCGCAATTGTTTGCCAGTTTCTTGACAGAAAGGCTGTGGTTACAGAAATCAAGACGACATCACAAGAGACAAAATTGTCATGGATATTCTGGAGAAAAGCACACATGGCATACTGTTGAGAGAGTCTAACTTGACTCTGATAAAAGCCATTGAGGTTTGTCGGGTCACAGAAGCAAGTCAAAGCGAGCTGACAGTAAATGAAATTAGACATGATTTGCTGATAGACGAAAACAGTCGGATGTTGAACATCAGCTGAAGCAAAATTCTTGCAATTTCGGGAACAAACACAAATTCAATGACAGCAAATATCCCGTTATTGGATTCATGTTTGCGAAATGCCAATGTCGTAACCATTTTGCGCTAGTGACACTAAACTCAAGACCAACTAATTGCTAGTAAATCTTCAAGGAAAACGGCAGTACCAGTAGTAGTAGAAGAAGCTGAACATGACTGTCTTGAAGACGGCGGAGGAATTTTATGTAAATTCGTTGAGAGAAAGGACAGCAACAAATGATCCCAACTGAAAGTAGTGTGAAGGACTTGAAACAATTTGGCATGGTTGGAAGTGACAAAACCAAGTGAGACAGGAAATTCAGTTTAAGCTAGACACTGGAGCTGAAGTGAGCGTTTTACCAGTCAACACTTTAAGATAGTGCAAGCTTGAAGACAAGCTTAAACCAACAGAAGTGACTATGGTAACAAGAGGTATAAGATTCAAGCTTTAGGGAAAATAAGAGTTCTTTGCCAAGTTAATTAGTTAATCAAGGTTCTATAGAAAAATTTGATGTAACTTATGTGCATGGGTTCGTTTTTGATGGATTGCGATCCTCCCAGGAGGGTCTCCAAAGCTCTTCATGATTAAAATTAAAAAAAAATTGTTGTTGGTGGATCGAAGATGTCCAGAAGTTTATGGACAAGCGGTAATCTGGTTTTAACATTATATATCATAAGAACTTTTAATATGTGATCAGTAATATTTTGAATGTAAGGAAGGACTACAGCGGCAAGTTTAGGGTTGCTTTCGAACTCATTGGTCTTTGGAAGGTTGTGGTGAAGTGAATTTTGTGCTGGAATGCTAAATGTTTCTAATGTTGAAATTATCTGGATATAAGGGCTGATGTTAGGAGTTTTAATTCTGGGCCCAGTGATTTGGGTCGAAATAATTTTACGGGTCGGTAAATAAGAGTTGATAACTGGCTTAGTTATCGATCGGTTAGTGTGCGCAGGTTTTTTATCAATGACCTAATGTTAGGTCTGGTTTTCTATTAATAAGAATATCCAAGAATGGTACATGGTAAAACGTATGTTAGGGTGTATAGAGTTTAAATAGTTAAGAAAATCTAGAAGGGATCCTTGACTATGAGGCCAAATAACGAAAGTATATATTTGGCTTTAAATGGAATATATCGAGGGCTTTCTTTCCAACAGCTTCCATAAATATATTTGCGACGAACGGTGATAACGGAGAACCCATATTTGTTCCTGATATTTATTTATAAATTTGGCCATTACAAGAAAAATATGTTCATGACAAGCATTTTTTAATTTAGATGAGTATATCTGATTCCAGATTCTGGAATTTTAATAAATCCGAAATTACGTTGAGAGTTTCAGGATTAGGAAGTTTAGTAAAGTTTAGTTTGGTTAGTTTAGTAATGGCTTTTCATTGAAGTGAAAGGAATTTAGTACGAAATTATCAGTTTTCAATATGAAGAGTTTTAATACAGAAGCTAGATATTTTGAGACATAGGTAACGTAGGATGTTTATTAAGTTGACGATATTAGGAAATATAATGTTAAAACCAGATTTACCACTTGTCAAAGACACAATTTCGTTTGATACATCAACGGTTTACAGTATTTCATGCATATGCAACAAAGAATAACATTGCAAAGACAGAACCAAAAATATATCAACAATATCAAACTCATCAGCAAATGCCGAGAAAAACCATGTAACCGGACACCAAATCTTATTCGACCAAACTAAAATTCTGGCCTCAACTCTGACCTCAATTCTTCTAAAATAGAAAACAACTAAACAACAACAAACAACCTTAACCCCCAATTAGGTCTTTACTTTTCACCAGTCCCTCTTTAGCTTCGCCTCCCTCAAACAATATATAAACAGGTACAGAGTAGAATGCATATCAGTTTCATTAGGCTCTGAAGAAGGCAACAGACGCAGGAATTCAGAAGATTTGTCAATAGTATTTAATAAAAAATTATTTACCACTTACCATTACCACTACACTATAAATGATAAGCGTTGATTCTCTTTGGTAGTAGTGAAACTATTTAACTATTGAACAGCCTACATAATTAAAGTTGATTTCTGGTTGAAAAATTCAAAAAGACGATATTTGATATTATATTTATATATACTTTTTTGCTTCACCGCATTCTCTAACATTATTTTCTGTTATTTTCTATGTTAAATGGGTTTTTTAGTCTCTTTTTCTTCTGTTGAAATGTTCCAGGTTTGGTTATTTTGGTATCGTCAAGTTATTTTACTTATTGTTGGATAAATGGATCAACAAAGTGGTAACAAAACGAAAATCGGATAAAAAATTATGGTCAAATTTCAGGGTGGCGACGAATGTATTACAAATATAGCGAAACCGATGTGGGGAAAAACAAACAATACAACATTAAGGCAGTGAAAGTGCATTGCAAAAAAGGCTGCCACGATACTCAAGCGAGTCTCGTCGAGTTACGCATGTGTATATGTGTGTGAGTGTATGAGGACGTTTAGAGCGCATGCGGGACCATACGGTTAACAAAAATATAGGAATTCCTTGGTTTTCTCCGTCAAATAAACATTATCATCCGCATCCGTATCTTTTTATTTAAAAACCTGAAGATAGAGGCCCCAAGTAGCCTTTATCTTCAGGTTCTACAAACAATGTTTGGGATAACTAAATATTTTGCAGAATACTTACATAAATAACAAATTAAAAACGATCAGCGATGCTGCTATTATAGCCTCTGAGAGCGATACTTGAAATGCTATACATCAAATAAAATCCTTTCTCATAAATAATTGTAATGATTATTCAAAACTTGTCCAAAATTTAAAGAATTTAGTAAACTAAAGGCTCCTATCTAATCACCTTTTTGTAACCGTTTCTGTCAACGTCTTTTTATCTAAACGTCTCGATATATGTATTTTTATTTAATTGGCTGTAAAAGCATCGCTGATCTTGCGATCTTGTTTACCATTATTTATATAAGTATTCGGTTTTGTTTGTCATCACACCAATATTTGAATTATACCCAAAGTTGTTGTAGAACCCCAAGATGTCTACTTATAGCCGAAAAGGTTGTTTTTAAATAAAAAGATATACACTCCCAGGGAAAAAAATCCGTCACCCTAGAATTTTGGATAAATTTTCTGGTTTTTAACTTTATTTTAATTGTTTCTTGTTGTTTTAGCAACTAACTTTCTTCGTTGTGGGCGTTATCATAGAGAATAAATGAAAATGTTTTTTGTGCTAGCTCTAAGTACCCTCTGGGAAAACTGATGGGGATAATTTCATTTACAAACTGTTTTTTGTAAACTGTTTTTGTATCCCAAATCTAGTATTTTTTTGGTATCATACCTGAATCTATTCCTTTTAAAACGGCAACTTGAAGTTTGTTTAGGTGTCATTGAGAAAAAGAAGCACTATAACACTATATGCTGAAATTAGTTAAGAACAACGAAAATTTTAATAGCGTATATTTCGTGGCATCCAATGAATAAGATTAGATATTAATGAAACATATGCCTATATGGAACTGCAACCACCCATCGTTACGTTGAAGATATCTTACAAGATGTTGTCGTTCCATTTACTCATTTCAATGGAAATCAATACTAGACTTCACAGATTTTACAGGTAGTGAGCGAATATATGGATGAAATTGGATTTTCATGTTTAGAATGGCCAACATGTGGCGCGGATCTCAACCCTATTGAGCATGTTTGGATAAACTTGAAACAGTCGTACGTTGTCGCCCCGAGCAACCACAAACTTTGCAAGACTTACGACGCTATTAAAATTGTTGTTGTTCTTAATTAATTTTATCACACCTAAATAAACTTCAAGTTGCCGTTTTATTGCAAACGTAATTCTTTTCCCCCTC